AAATATTAGTGAATGTGAAGACATAGCAGTAATTTTGTAGAAACTACAGATGAAACACATAAAAAAAGACTGAGAGAAAGTGAACTAGTGGGCTGTGGGGTAATATCTAGTGACTGAACAGATATGTAATTAGAGTCTCAGAAGGTACAGCAGTTGGGAGGTAGAAAGAAAAAATGCTGGAAGAAATAATGGTCAAAATTTTTTCCACATTCGGCCAGGCATGGTGGCTCATTACTGTAATTCCAACACTTTGTGAGGCCGAGGCAAGAAGATCACTTGAACCCAGGAGTTTGTTACTAGGCTGGGTAACATTAGTGAGACCTCCTGTCTCTAAAAGTAAAAATAAATTTAAAAATTTAAAATAATTTTTCCAAATTTGATCGAAACTATAAGCTTACTGGCCCAAGAAGTTCAATGAACTTCAAGCAAAATAAACATTAAGGAAATGACACTGGGCCGGGCATAGTGGCTCATACCTGTAATCCCAGCACTTTGAGAAGCCGAGGCAGGTGGATCGCCTGAGGTCAGAGGTTCGAAACCAGCCTGGCCAACATGGTGAAACTCTGTCTCTACTAAAAATACAAAAATTAGCCAAGCGTGATGGCACATGCTTGTAATACCAGCTACTACTCGGGAGCCTGAGGCAGGAGAATCGCTTGAACCTGGGAGGCGGAGGTTGTAGTGAGCCAAAACTGCGCCACTGTACTCCAGCTTGGGTGACAGAGCGAGACTCCATCTCAAAAAAAAAAAAAAAAAAAAGAAAGAAAGAAAGAACACATCCTAATCAAAAGACCAAAAAGCTGTGAAAAGAAAAAAATTCTAAAGGAGATGGTGAGGAATACGCCTTCTTCAAAGATTATTCAACTTTTGCAGCCTGATTTCTGCAAGTTTAGGAGAACAAGATTTGCTTTATTTTAACAAAAACTTTTTAGGCCAAACTTCCTGAGGTTTCTTCAGCAATACTTATGCTTCAAAAGCTTACAAGACAGCCAGGCGCCATGGCTCATGCCTGTAATCCCAGCACTTTGGGAGGCCGAGGCGGGCGGATCAGAAGGTCAGGAGTTTGAGACCAGCCTGACCAATATTGTGATATCCTGTCTCTACTAAAAATACAAAAAGTAGCCGAGCCTGGTGGCAGGTGCCTGTACGGAGTTCCAGCTACTCGGGAGGCTGAGGCAGGAGAATTGCTTGAACCTGGGAGACGGAGATTTCAGTGAGCCGAGATTGTGCCACTGCACTCCAGCCTGGGCAACAGAGTGAGATTCTATCTCAAAAAAAAAAAAAAAAGTTTACAAGACATTTAATCTGTTTGCTTCTTCTATTCAGTACCATGTGCCAATCAATAGCCACAGCCAGGATTCCTTTCTAGAGAGAGTACTTAAGCCTATTTTATTTATCTCTTTTCTTTCCTGCCCCAAACCCTCTTTTCTCAATTTAGTGTCAGTTGTCTTGAAACTATCTGAAACAATTGGGCATGATTGAAAGAAGATCTTTGCCTGACTGAAATGTCTCAATGACAGTCCTCTGAGCTACAAGTCTTATCTTGGCTATTATGGTACTGAAGCAGTTGGGTTTTAGAAATCTTTAAGTCCCCAAGCTTCTGGACTCTATTCCCTTCCTTCGCTTGCAAACCAGTAGATTCTAGTCTGAGCTCATCTCTTTTTTGAACATACCTAGCCAAAAACAGCCAGCAGCAGCCAACTCACAGTTACATTCTGGCTCATTCCATCTACCTTCCCTAGAAGTACCAGTACCGTAAGAATTGTGTCTGCTTGTCAAGTTACCACAGCAACAGTTTTACCAAATATTTTGCCATGGCATAGGAAGAGGCTCCGTCTTTCAGTCAATGATATCAGTTCCTAACCTCCTGCTTTGCATCTACTAAGCCAATCCCTATGTTTTAGGTGTCGGATTTCTAAATTAGGGTAAGTTAAGCTAGTTTATTAAAGTACTACTGTGTGTAATAGTTTACACACAATAGAAATTTTTTTGCAATTTACCTAACAGTTCAGAGACATCTAAGTAAAATGTTCAAAATCTGTAGGAGCAGGGTTGGGGAAGAGGGGACTCAGCTCCACATGGTTACTGAAAGACTCAGGCTGCCATCTTCAACACATGGTTTCCAAGGACGCTCCTAGCATGACCCAGTCATCCAGAGAAGAAAAACAGCAAGAAGTTTTCATTGGTAAAGCATGAAATGGTTCACATCACTTCTCTTCCCATTCCAGCAGAGATAACTTAGTTGAATGCCACAAAGAACTGCAAGGGAAACTAACTATGAGAGTGAAGAATGGATTTGGTGAGACAGAGGGCCATCTCCATCATTAATACAAGCACTGTATCAGTCAGAGTTCTCCAGAGAAAAAGAAACAATAGGATAAAAAGACAGGGAGAGAGATTTTAAGGATCTGGCTCATGTGATTGTGGGGGCTGGCGAGTCTGAAATTAGTAGGGCTGGCTAGCGGGCTGGAGATTCAGGATAAGAGTTGAAGTTGCAGTCTTGAGTCAAATTCCACAGGGCAGCGATTTGGAAACTAAGTTAAGGTTTCTACATTGCAATCTTGAGAATTCCTTCTGCTTTAGGAGACCTCCGTCTTTGCTTGTGAGGCCTTCAGTTGATTGGATGAGGCCCATATATGTTATGAAACGTAGTATGTGTTACTCAAAGTCTACTGATTGTGAATGTTTATCACATCTAAAAAATAACAGCACAGCAACATCTGGGCTGGTGTTTGACCAAATAACTGGGTCCCATAGCCTAGCTAAGTTGACACAAAGTTGACCAGCATGTGACCATCACAGATAACCAAATATTGACAGTGGTATTACCTTTTAGAATCCAAAGTAAGGGAAGGTGCTTGAGGACAGCATAGGGAAGAGAGGCACAGATTTTTGCTTTTCATTTTATACCTTCACAGATATTTGTATTTGTACCAAATGTGTATATTGCTTTCCTTTTTAAAATTATTTTTAATAAGAAAGACAGAATTTTGTGGATTGAACATGTGAGACTGAAAAGAAAAAAGGCCTTTTTTTTTTTGAGACAGAGTCTCACTCTCTTGCTCAGGGTAGTGTGCAGTGGTGCAATCTCGGCTCACTGCAACCTCTGCCTCCTGAGTTCAAGCGATTCTCCTGTCTCAGCCTCCCAAGTAACTGGGATTACAGGCACACGCCACCACACCCAGCTAATTTTTGTATTTTTAGTAGAGATAGGGTTTCGCCATGTTGGCCAGGCTAGTCTCGAACTCCTGACCTCAGGTGATCCACCCGCCTTGGCCTCTCAAAGTGCTGAGATTACAGGCATGAGCCACCGCACCCGGCCAAAAAAAGGCTTTTTGAAAAAGAGGATGAGACAATGGGTAGCTAGGAGCACATTGACCCTGCCTCTTGGTCCTCAGACAGAGGAGCAGAGAAACAGCAGCGTCTGCTCGACAGGGCTGTGAATTATCATGGATTCTCAGATATATTTGTGTAATTACATTGACATTTCCCTCATAATAAATTTAGGGTTTTAGTTCAAGTGGTGGGAGTATTCTATGATAAAATGGAAAATCTAGCAAGTCTCAGCAAAGAACAGGGGCTGCAGAGAACACATTGAAAATTAAACACAGAGCAAAGGTGAGCCAGGAAGGAGGAAGGCTTCAGCTGACTGGAGGCATGCAATAAGAAAGACAATGGCCCCAGGAGAAGAGGGACGAGGGGGTCAAAAGGCATGCCAGAGAGACCCTCCCAGATGTATCTGCTCTCTTTCTCTACTATTTTTAAGATTTCTCACGTTGTCGAGGGGGAAACAAAGCCTTTTATTGTTTTTTGTTGTTTTGTTTTTACATGGAAGTATATTGAGAGGCTTGAGGAGTGGCAGAAGGAGAGTCTAGGAATAAAAAGATGTAATAATGCTTGCTGCGCATTTACCAGGTCTGTGTCGTCATGCTCAACCACAGGTAGCCTCCTTTTGGCCCCATTAGAGCACTCATTCTTATTTATTTATTTTTGAGACAGGTTCTCATTATCTCCCAGGCTGGAGTGCAGTGGCACGGTCTCAGCTCACTGCAGCCTCAACCTCCCTGGGCTCAGATGATCTTCACACCTCAGCCTTCTGAGTAGGTGGAACTATAGGCACCTACCACCATATCTGGCTAATTTTTGTATTTTTTGTAGAGACGAGGTTTCACCATATTGCCCAGGCTGGTCTCAAATTCCTGGGCTCAAGCCATCTGCCCACCTCGGTCTCCCAAAGTTCTAGGATTACAGGTGTGAGCTACCGCACTCAGCCCAGGGGACCCATTCTGAAGTTTCCTCAGTGTGTGATCTGCTCTACCTGTCTCCCTTCCCCTGAACCGTGGATACAAAACACTTCATTTCCCTAAAAAGCAGGCAGGGCCAATTTTCGTCACTAGGTGGCATGCGCATATAAGCAGTGAGCTGAGTTGCAGAAAAGATGAAGGAAAACTAGAAAAAGCGAACTCATTCAACAACAAAGAAGGAACTTCAAGAATGAGGTAAACATATTTAAATTGCCTTTTTGAAATCTTTATCACCAACTTGCTTTTTTTGGTGCCTCACAACTTCAGGCTGGGTACTTGGTAGTGATGGAACTATCCCTGAACCCGGTGGCAGCAAAAAGCAAAATATGCACTAAGAGAAGCCAACAAACCAAAGGAACTAAGGGCTTAATCACCCTTTCGGGCAGCCCACTTCTATCTTGAATGGCCTCTCTAAATCATTGTGCATATTCTTCAGTATTTTTATATTATCCAAAAGTCATTCCCCCCCGTTTTTTTTCTTTCTGAGACAGAGTTTTGCTCTGTTGCCCAGGCTGGAGTGCAGTGAGGTGATCCCGGCTCACTGCAACCTCTACCTCCCGGGTTCAAGCGATTCTACTCCCTCAGCCTCTCAGGTAACTGGGATTATAGGTGTGCGCCACCACACCCGGCTAATTTTTGTATTTTTAGTATTGACGGGGTTTCACCATGTTAGCCAGGCTAGTCTCAAACTCCTGACCTCACATAAACCGTCCACCTCGGCCTCCCAAACCGCTGGGATTACAGGCATGAGCCACTGCGCCTTACCTATTTTTCCCTTTTCCCAGGTTTGTACAGCCCCTAATTTGTCCCAGTGTTTATCCCACATGACTAGAGTAAATCATGACTGGACGAAGGTCATATTCCCTCACAGTTATTATTTTGAACACTTACTTTTTGTAATTAGGTATTCATTTGAGATTTATTTCTCTCCACCAGATTGGAACTCCATGAAGGTGTGATTATGCATATTTTTGATGACCACAGTATCCCCTGGCATACCGTAGGCACCTAACATTGACCAAAAGCCTCCTAGCCTTTGCAAAGGCTTGCCTTTTTCTAATCTATGTCCATCCTGCCACCAGAGTGATCTTAAAAGGTAAATCTAGTTATACCACTTCCTGCTTGTAGTCAATGGCTTCTCAGAGATTTCAAACTAAACCCTTTTACTTATCCTGAATTGGCCTCCCTACTTGCCACCTCCCCACGTGTCCCCCATGCTCCACCCATCCTAAATTACTGTTTCCTGCCTCTTTACTTTTGTGTACATTATTCGTTCTGTCTCAAATGCTTTTCCTTCAGCTTTTTTTTTCCCACCCAACTTCAATAAAGCCTTCAGAACTTGGTTTTTGTCACCTCTTTCAGAAACCCTTCCTGGACCTGAGTTAGACATCCTCTTCTATGCTCCTATAACACAATGTTCATCTCTACTTACCATACTTTGTTGGTTCATTCAAAAGCCATCCCATCTATACTCTAAGATGCTTGAAAGCAAGGGTTTTATATTGCAAACTTTTGCTGACACAGTACCCAAAGTCTTCACCAAATATAATCAATGGTTTCCTTCTGTGTACCTACCTCATCATAATCATTAATGTTTATTTCCCTTCCTCCTAGAGGATACAGACTATGTGTTATTATTAATCCCTTCACCTACCCTGGTCCTGTTGAGTTGCTCTGACATAGCTGAGAAGAATCACAATGGGGAGGTGATACTCACATCGATAGGGTGTTTAAGGATTGCAGCATATCAGTTATAGAGATTACGATCCCTGTACCTGTAGTCCTGTCATTTTTTAGTAGACATAAGAGTACTTTGTGTTATTTGAAGTCTTCTGAATGTTTTAATTTTTATTGTGCATTAATAAATCCTATCTAGTGAGATAAGCAGGAAATGGGTTTATTTTTTATTGGAGGAGAAGGTTTAAAATGAAATGGTATACCTTAAATTATCCAGTGAACATGAAGCACAGCCAAGACTAGAAGAAAATGAAGTGTGTTCATCCACAAGTCTAGTGCTGTATCAGCAAGATTTTACTGGATAAAGCTTTCAGACAAATGAAAATAAGCTTAAGCAAAATCATCTAACTCCAATCTAGAGTCATTATAAATTAATGATTACAGGGGAAAAGAGAAAAACAAATTGTCAAATGGTTTCTTAGTGTATATAGAAAGGATATGAATCTAAATTTTTTGAACACTTCACTAATCAACTGTTTTTAGTAACGTTTCCTTATAATTTACAAAGGATCTTTACGTATATTATTCTCATTTCATTTTTGTAACAGTTTTACGAGTATGCAGGCCATTGCAGGAATAATTGTTTTCTTTTGTGGAAACTGACGCTCACAGTAGCTACCAGTTGTAAGATTTCTGAGCAGATTTCTACTCAACTCACCTTTGTGTCCACAATGCCCGTAGCACAGGGTCTTGCACAGAGGTCATGCTTTAAATGTGCTTGGGGAATGGGTGAACGAATGTATGCAATTATATCATGATACAAATGTCAGGTTCTTGCACTTTCTGGTCTCCCAGAAAGTATATTTGAGAAAAGAAGTCATACTCTTTGCTAAAATGCCTTTCTGGAAAATTGGTTGGTCTTGATTATTTTCACCAAGTTATTCATTACTACAATATAGTCAAAATCTTAGATAAGTACACCACATCTAATTTAAAGTGGTCTTTGGTGCTTCAAACTTGACTTCACCCAAATTTCCTTATTCTTCAAGTTCCAAAGAGAACTTTTATTTTTTTTCCAATGGGTTGCTGCCTGCTGCAACCCATTAGTGAGTGGTAAAATTAGTGGATTATGACCAAATTTTTCGAAGAATGAAATAAAATATCAAAGTGCATATAAGAGGTAAGTATTGTTTCATGGGACTTCTATATCTGGGATGCAATAATAAAAATGTATTTCTTACTCTGGGGTTGTGGTCAAAAAAGTTTGAAGACCACTGCACTAAAGTATTGCCCCATTTTGCTTAAAAATGTAAAATTTTCTCTAGAATGGAACAATTTGTCACCAGATCAAGCTTTCAGACTTTTTCTACTTTCTTGATATGTATGACCTCTGTTTAAGATCCAATTGACCGTTCAGCAAATGGCTGAAATAGCTATAAACCCAAAAATCACTTTTGTATTTAAAAAAACATTATATTTAAGGATTCCTGAGAAGCCAGATGAATTTTGGAGCCAAATATAAGTTTCTGGGTTTTAAAATGTGCTTAGCCTCCATCTGCAGAAGGCCATTTGAAACTTGAAATATCATCTCTTAGTAGGCTTAAGTAGACTTACTTAAGAAGTTTATCCTCTTCCCGATTCATCTAGTGATGGTGTAATAATTTTTAAATTTCTTCTAAGATTCAAAAAGTCTTGTTAAAATATATTATTTAGACAATGAGAGTAATGTGGGAAAGCTTTGTCAAAAAATGGAATAGAGACAGTGATAATCATCTAAATGATACTCTGAAGACCCCGACTCGTCTTATGTAAAGACATTTTGAAGATCTTTTGCATGTAGGGTAACAGGTCCAGATAGGATTCAAGTTAAGCAGTTTTACGTTGTAGCCCCAATGGAGACAGCCCTACTGGGTGCTGCAGTAGAAAGAGTGTGGACCCTGAAAACTAAGGATCTGGGTTCTTCCTGGTTCTGTTACTTACTGGTGTATGATCTTGGATAAATCATGATTTGTCACCATAAAGTGGAAATAATAAAAAGATATCCTATCTCCCTCATAGGATTCCTGTGTTTGAAGAGCAAATGCCTTCAATATGCCAGGCATAGTATCAATTGCTTTACAGAATCCATCAAGAACACTATGAGGTAAAAACCTATTTATCTGACATGATTAGAACCAGCAATTTGTAGGTTAATCTAAAATGTTAATTACAGTTATGAAAAAATACATATACACATACTTTAGACATGTTTATTTTAACTTAAAACATACAAATATATACTTGTTCACTGTTGATGTAGGGCCAAGGCCTTTTCCTTGAGTATGAGTCTACTGATTGAAATACTGTTTTTTTTTCAGCATAAACCAAAATGAAACCCATCACCTCTGATTTCCAGTTTTGGTTTCTTTAAAGTGGAGCATGAATTAAAACATTAAGAAACAATGCTGAATCTTTCTAAATTTTTTGTTACTTTTATTAGTCTTTGTATTTCTCCAATGGCAATTATTTTTAGCAACTTTTTTTATTGTTATTCCAAGTCATTCAGCTTAATTTTCACAGAAGTAATCCTTCTTTTGTATTCATATTTCAAAACTTAACATATTTAGTCCATGTATTTAATTACAATAAGTAGGATAAATTATGTTACACAATTGACAGCTTATTTTTTGTATTTTTAGTAGAGATGGGGTTTCACTGTGTTGGCCAGGCTGGTCTCACTGTGTTGGCCAAGCATGGTTGACAGCGTTCAGTGTGATGTGGATGCTGGTCATCAAGCTTTTCACAGGGAACTGGGAGGATCCATCTGAAGACTCAGATAAGTGGAGATCAGATAAGGGAGCTTTGACTGAGTTATTAACTCCATTTTCCAGATGAGGCTATTGAAGCTTAGAAAGTTAATTGTCCATTTTTAAATGAATGACTCATATATGAAAGGCTCTAACAGAAATACAGGGAGGAGAAATCTAACTCAACCATGTAAAAGGTGATGCTAAGTAGGAAAAGTAGGAGAAGAAAATCAGGCAAATAAGAGAAAGTACATTTCAGTCTGAGAAAACAAAGGTAGTAAAATCCAAAAAGAACATGAAAGGCTGAGCACTGTGGCTCATGCCTGTAATCCTAGCACTTTGGGAGGCTGAGGTGGGAGGATCACTTGAGCCCAGGAGTTCAAGACCATCCTGGGCAACATAATGAGACCTCATCTCTATTTTAATAAAAATAAAAAGAACATGAAAAATGCAGAATTTAAGAAATCTGCTTAGCTAGAGGACAAGATATAGTGGGGCAGGCAGGCGTGGTGGCTTATACCTGTAATCCCAGCACTTTGGGAGGCGAAGGCGGGCAGATCATGAGGTCAGGAGATCGAGGAGACCATCCTGACTATCATGGTAAAACCCCGTTTCTACTAGAGATACAAAAATTAGCTGGGCATGGTGGTGGGCGCCTGTAGTCCCAGCTACTCGGGAGGCTGAGGCAGGCGAATCACTTGAACCCGGGAGGCGGAGGTTGCAGTGAGCCGAGATCACCTCACTGCACTCCAGCCTGGGTGACAGGGTGAGCCTCTGTCTCAAAAAAAAAAAAAAAATCATTCCCACAGCAAGATGGAGGGTGAATTGGAGTCAGGAGAACTAGAATAAAGGAGACTACCTGGTAGGCTATTGCAGAAAAATTAAGGGGACAGTGATAAGGATCTGAGTCAGTGTTGGTGACATCCCCACATGGTATTCTCTTCCCAGTAGGTCTCCTCCCTTTAGCCAACAAGTGTGAAGTGTTAAGGGGGCAATGTCACTGCAGAGCATGTCCCTGCCAGCTCCACTATTAGCTAAAAATTAAATTGTTTCTAGTAACAATTTTACCTGCCCATCTTTTCACAAATTATGGGGCTTATGACTGGGGTTAAACCCATAAGACAAGTGTTAATCTCTGCTTTATAGCTTAAATATGCTTTTTTGTGCAAAGCCTAGAAACCCATCAAAATGCTATATAAGGTAAAAGAGAAATCTCTAAAAGTTGGAAACAAATGTAAATGTATATTCTGCTGGCAATAACCTTAAAGAAATCATTCCAGATAACTTGAAATCTCAGTATTTGGACTGTGAACTCACAGTGTGCTATACCTTACACAATCTTCCCTGTCCTCTACCCCACAAAAACAAAACTTAACCTATTTTCATTAACTATATTGTTGGTAATGTTTATGTTAATATTCTGAGACTTCTGAGTGTATATTCTTAGCTTACACTAATGAATAATTGTGTAATATTCTAATTATATCAGCCGGGTGCCGCAAATTGGAATTCTCAGTATAGTTTGATAAAGGAGACACAGACCAAAGAAATTAAGTAAAAATTCTGTAGCCCTGAGTATCAGTATAACTTCATGCTGTATTTTATATTAAAACAACAACAAATAATATCGATGTTAGTCCACAGAAAGGCCTAGAAACCTAAAAACCCAGTCTCAACATTCCTAGTGCTCTGATCGCAGTCGCCAAATGCCATTTTCCAGTAAAGAGGAAACAAGCCTCTTTGGAGAAATTGTTTTCAAGTCATGCAGGAAATACACAAGATGAGCCTTAGAACATCTTGTTATATCACTTAGCAAGGATGCTACCAATGACAATGAGGGGCATGCAAATAGACTCAGGAGCCAAATGAAAGAGGCTCTCACTGGCCAAAAATGGGCCAATTTGAGCATTCATAAGAGAAATAGCTTCAGTGGACTGAAGTACACCAAATATATTTAAATGCATGAATAGATAATTACATACACATTAATTATTCACTATTGGAGGATATTAATAAACAACTCATTATTTTGAAGACCAAGGAGTTAAGCATTTATTCTTAATTTTCTCCCAAAACGTAGATGAGGGGAAGTTTCTATCTACAGGCATTTTAGGTCATAAATGAAGGAATACTAGAATTAGAATACCATCGTTTTTAATACCTCATTAATTAATAGATCAAAAACTGCTCACATTACAGAGACAACCAATAGTATGAAAAAACCAGCATGCAATCACCAAAATCCAAACTAAGAAAAACTCTACAAAGTGAACAACACTTCTTCAACAAATATATTGCAAGAGGGCAGAGAGATGCTGATAAACCAGTAAGTGAGTGAACCCAAACCTGCAGCTTCAGCATCACCTGGGAATTTGTGAACAACACTTCTTCAACAAATATATTGCAAGAGGGCAGAGAGATGCTGATAAACCAGTAAGTGAGTGAACCCAAACCTGCAGCTTCAGCATCACCTGGGAATTTGTTAGAGATGCAAATTCCCAGACTCCACAGCAGACTTACAGATCACCACATCTGGAGTGGGGCCCAGCAGTTTGTATTTGAACAAGGCTCTAGTGATTCTGATACACTCTAGTTTGAGGACCACAACAATAGAAGAAATGTAGGATGCATATCAGCCAGCTGCAATATTCAGTACCTTATTTGGTTCCTTGTTCCAAAAAACTGCCAAAACTTTTTACATCTATAGACAACATATAATATTAAGAAATTGTCCATTTTCTTAGGTGTAAAAATGGTATTAAGATTATACATATTTTTTAAAGCCCTAAAATACTTACAGATGATAAGATTTGCTTCCAAATAATACAGAAAGGGCAAAAGCAGGTGCGGTTACAGATGACACAAATTAGCTAGGAGCCAATAATTGTCAAAGGTGGAGGATGGGTTACCTAGGTGTTCTTTATTCATTCCTCTCTCTCTCTCTCTCTCTCTCTCTCTCTATATATATATATATATATATATATATATATATATAAAATAGTATATTTTTGAGATTTTTTTATTCTAAAATTTTTTTAAAACTCAAACCAGAATAAATTAAAACAAAAGATTGTGACTTAAGCAGAATTAATCCGAAAGAAGAGAAAGTATATAGTACTTTTACTTAAAGGGCAGTATTGAAATACATAAAATAAGTATAAATAGTCTGAAAAAAACCTACTCCATACTAGTTTGTGGCAAAATGCTTTTGTTTAAGAAGTAAGGGAGATCTAGATGCTCTATCAATTGTCTGATGTCATTTTAAATAACTGGCCCCATTGGAGAGAATGACTTACCTGGGAAGAAAGAGGTCCAGTCTGGTCAAGGGCATATGAATACCTACACATATTTGTTTTCCAATTTCCAAACTAGCTTAGCTTTTAGAATGTAACCTGTTAATAAACTCAGGTTTACCATCATTTTTAAAAGTTTACCACTTTAGCATATTATGATTGCAACCTGAGTAGACTAATGCAGATATTAGTAACGGCTGTTTTTTTTCCCCTAGACAGGAGACAATCCATCTCTTACATAGGGAAAATAACCAAATTATGTGTTATGAGAGAGGTTCAGAGGCCTGTCTTGAAATGTCATCTCCAGTGATCTGGTGATGCTGTGGACCTAGAGTGTCATCCAAATAACTAGTCTTGAAATTTCTTCAGGACAAGAAATTTTTAAAAAACGAATTGTGAGGCTACAGTAGCCCTTAATAACTCCTTAAATTTAATTGTTGTGACAGGTTTACTTCCTCTGTAATATATCTTTGTTATTGTGCTTTTAAGAATAGAGTGAATATTCATAAGCAGAATAGTTCAGAAAAAAATTTAAAAGAATTTTTTAATGATATAGGGTGAATAGATGTAATCTCTCCTTTTTAACTTCTCCCTCTTATTTATTCTTTAGCATGGAAACATAATTTGTATATGAAAACCTGGTCCATAAGAAATCTGATTGGAAAGCACCAACTTCAAAGCCTCAGGGTATGAGTGATAGAGTGTGCTATACATTCTCACTTTAAAAAGGTGATGGCAGAATTCTGAGGATGGTTTCATGTTTTATTTTAGATATTTCGTATTTGTCATTATTGTTATTATAAGCATAATTTTCTTCATTATCATTCAAATTATTAATTTGCTTAGAGTGGTCAATGATATGGAGAAAAGACCATTAAAAGTCATCACCATCCATTATCAGACATCATTCTGATAAAAGTAGTCTCAAAATAGGGACTTCTGTTCCCTTTCATCTGCTTTGAGCTCCTGCTGTGTTCCCACCCATGTTGACTACTTTGTAAAAAGGAGAAAAAAAAAGACAAAGTCCAACTTTAGAGAGCTCTAGTTGAGGAGATGAGGTGATGAGAAGAGAATCACCACATACCTATGAGGAGGCTGCAATAGAGAGCTTGACAGCCTGGACTGTTCGGCTTTACACTGGTTGAATTCCAATCCTGACTGCCACTCAATAGCTCTGTGATGCGGAGCAAGTTACTAACCTCCCCTGCCCCAGTTTCCTCATCTGGTAAATGAAAGTAAGAACAGTAATTACCTTGTAGAGTTGTCTTGGGATAATCCTTAACTTAGATAATCCATAAAACACTCAAATTTATCCATATATACATCCATATATTTTATTTCTCTGTTGACCACTGTTTCTTGTATCCCTTACCTTTGCCTTGGGCAGACTCTTCTTTTTTGTCCTTGAAATATAACCTTTAATAATTCAATTCTCTTAGTTTTATATGTCTAAACATGTCTTTATTTTGCCTCCAATATTGTGCATAAAATTCTAAGTTGACACTTATTTTCCTCAGCACTTTGAAGATATTTTTCCACTGTCTTCTGGACTTTACAGTGCTGATAAGAAAGAAGCTTACTGCTGGTTTAACAATGATTGCTTTGAAAATTATGTATTTTTTTCTTACTGGTAGAATACTCACATTTAAGTAGACATTTGATGAATGTGCATATTTATTGATAAGACTCCACACAGGACTCCTAATTCCATAGATTATAGGGGAGGATCATGGTACAAACATCCTCCTCCCTTATGAAGGGGCATGGCAGAAACTGAAGGCTATTGTGACTAAAAGGAAGCTCTGCAAGATTAATAACATATAACCATAACCTTGCCTCCAAGGGGGATCTAAGAGTGTCCCCACAAGAATCTGAGAGACTGTAAGAGGATATGAAGAGAACAGCTGAGGACCCTTATTTTTATTTATTTATTTATATTTAATTTTTTTTTCAGACATCAGTGTTACTTGCCAAGACCCTCATTTTTAAACTCCCACGAGTTATTACGTTCCTTTCCACTCTTGCTTTCCAATTCCTACACTAGGACAAGTCTGTATTTTGAGTATATGAGTCAAGTATGGCAAAAACTACAGTACTTTAAAAACTTTTATTTTAGTCCTTCCTGGCCCATGCTAAAACTTACATCTAGAAATATGGCAAAACAAAATGAAACAGATCTCTCCTTGTACATAAAATAGCTAAAAATTTGGCCTCTTTATTGATCTTATGTCATATATTTGGCTTGAAACAAAACAACAACAAAACAAACAGTTACAATTAAGGGTTATACAAACTAAATTTTTCTTCTAAATCTCTAAAGGCGCTTAGAGAGCAACTCGCAGGGCATACACAGGGCCTTGAGAGTCGGTCCCACAGAAAATACTTAGGTAAATGAAACAAGAAGGATGCTATTTGGTTTTCATTACATAAACATCACCTGAACTTAACTAATCAATCCACTTATTTGATAAAAATCATCTAGGACCAAAAGCACTATCAAGTTTGCTGGGTGCCATTTTCACTCTAATCATACCCAAAAGGCCTAGAAATAATTCGAAACTAGAAAGAGGCCCAAGTAGTAAGGCTACCTGTGGCTCTTGCTGAAAAACATTTGCCAGTCTGATGTGCGTGTGTCTAGAAAGAATGATAGAAAATAAAGAGTTCTGCTTGAGTTCAGGAGAACTTCCCAGAAGGAGGTGGTGGGCCAAGAAATCCACCTGCCTGCTTGGTGGCGGCTCGTGAAGGGGCAAGGCCGAGAATCTTCTGAATGTTCTGTGAAGAAAACAGAGTAAGGATAGGGTTTTAATATCAAATATACAGAAGATGTATTTTATGTAGCTCTCAGGCAAAGGAAACTCATATAGATTAAAGGTATCATTATGACCTGCAATAGGATGATTATCACTATGTTAATTTTAAAAAGGCCTACAATGTAATGGAAATCACAGAACAGTAAAAGCCTTCCTTACCTGATGAGACCTTGGTCTACTAATGAAAGGGGTTGATTTTTTTCAAGCAGACAATGATAAAAGGAGATAATCTTTTTAACAAGAAGCATATGAAGAATATTCATTAGCTATTTCTTATGGGCATTTTCTTTGAGTATGGATCTGCTGGCTGGATTTGTCATTACTGCACTGTCTATAATTTTCAGTTTCGGCCAGGTGTGGTGGCTCACGCCTGTAATACCAGCACTTTGGGAGGCCAAGGCAGGTAGATCACTTGAGGCCAGGAGTTCAAGACCAGCTTGGACAGGATGGTAAAACCCCATCTATACTAAAAACACAAAATAATTAGCTGAGTGTTGTGGCGTACGCCTGTAGTCCCAGCTACTCGGGAGGGTGAGGCATGAGAGTCCCTTGAACCCAGGAGGAAAGGCTGCATGAGCCAAGATTGCACCACTGTACTCCAGCCTGGGCAGCAGAGTGAGATTCTGTCTAAAAAATCAGTTTCAGTTTCTTTACAGTGTTGAAAGTACTTAGAAACCTGCAAAGCACTCTGAGTTCAGAATTCTCTTAAATTTTCAGCACCCCCCATCTTTTTCCATTGTTTCATTTACATCTAATGCAATTTTTTAAGAAACTCACTTTTATTCAGTTTTTTAAAATGTATTTCGTTCTCATAATAGTGTTTTGGTTTTTTTTTTTTCTGAGGCGGAGTCTCACTCTGTCATCCAGGCTAGAGTGCAGTGGCGCGATCTCGGCTCACAGTAACCTCTGCCTCCTGGGTCAAGCGATTCTCCCTGCCTCAGCCTCCTGAGTAGCTGGGATTACAGGCGCCTGCCACCATGCCCAGCTAATTTTTGTATTTTTTTTTAGTAGAGATGGGGTTTCATCTCTACTAAAGTTCAATTGGCCAGGCTGGTCTTGAACTCTTGACCTCAGGTGATCTGCCTGCCTCAGCCTCCTAAAGTGCTAGGATTACAGGCGTGAGCCACCATGCCTGGCCAAAACCCCTCCCCCCTCCCCCGCTTTTTTTTTTTTAAGATGGAGTCTGGCTCTTGTCGCCCAGGCTGGGGTGCAATGGCATGATCTCAGCTCACTGCGACCTCCGCCTCCCGGGTTCAAGCAATTCTCCTGCCCCAGCCTCCCAAGTAGCTGGGATTACAGGCATGCACCACCACGCCCAGCTGATTTTTGTATTTTTAGTAAAGACAAGGTTTCACCATATCGGCCAGGCTGGTCTCAAACTCCTGACCTCAAGTGATCCGCCCGCCTCAGCCTCCCAAAGTGCTGGGATTGTGGGCATGAGCTACTGCGTCCAGCCAATGTAGCGTTTTATAAGAGGAAAAAAACCTTAGAGATCCTGATTATTCTTGCCCAATTCCTTCATTTTATATCTGAAGAAACTAAAACTCAGAAAGGTATGATGGATGGCTTATCCAGAATTACAAAGCTAAATTAAGAGCACAGTTAGAATTTAAACCTATTGTGTTTTGACCCTAAATCTAATGGATTCTCTTACACAGTAGTTTCTATGTTAAAGTTTTGCTCTTCAGAACAAACTCCATTCTGTGGTAGGCAGGTTTACATGCACTAAACTATTCATCCAGTAGTTACTGAGTACCTACTGGATACTATGAGAATATCCATACCCAGGCTTCTCTGCAAGCATACACACCCTCAATCCTTCATCATGAAGAATGATGACTATTATGGATAAGAGTGTGTATTGAGGTAACACTGTTAGAATACAACAGAATGTTTAAATATGGAGGACATAACTTTAAGGACTCATCTAAATTATATTTACCATAAAATATTTCAATACATACATTCCACAATACTATAGCTCATGCTTTGACATCTGAAACAGGTGAAGAAAAAAATCAATCGTTAGTACATTAGGATATTTCTCCTTAGTAAAGATGGAAAATGATGTGACTTTGTATTTCTTTTTCTGAGACGTGGTTTTGCTCTGTCACCCAGGCTGCAGTGCAGTGGTGTGGTCACAGCTCATTGCAACCTCCACTTCCCGGGCTCAAGCATTCTTCCCACCTCAGCCTTCCGAGGAGCTGGGACTATAGGCATGCCACCATACCCAGTTAATTTTTGTATTTTTAGTAGAGTCGGGGTTTTGCCATGTTGGCCACGCTGGTCTCAAACTCTTGGGCTCCAGTGATCCGCTCACCTCAGCCTCCCAAAGTGCTAGGATTATCGGGTTGGGCCACCATGCCTGGTCTACTTTGCATTATCTTTTTTTTTTTTTTTTTTTTTTTTTTTTGAGGCAGAGTCTCACTCTGTTGCCAGGCTGGAGTGCAGTGGTGCGATCTTGGCTCACTGCAACCTCCGCCTCCCGGGTTCAAGCGATCCTCCTGCCTCAGCCTCCCAAGTAGCAGGCGTGCACCACCATGCCCAGCTAATTTTTTGTGTTTTTAGTAGAGACAGGGTTTCACTATGTTGGCCAGGATAGTCTCGATCTCTTGACTTCGTGGTCCACCCGTCTCGGCCTCCCAAAGTGCTGGGATTACAGGTGTGAGCCACCATACCCGGCCTACATTACTTTTATAATAAAAATAGCTCCTTAAAGCTCACCTCCAAAAAACCCATTACACAAAGCAGTAAAAAGACCAAATGATGTCACTAATTTGCAATTTCTTTAGTTAATTAATAAGTATTTCCTGAGCACCTACAATGTATTTAGCACTAAACTAGGCATTAAGGGAAATTGCTTTAAAGATAAAATTTGAAATAGTAAGACATACAGAATTAGCTGCTGATAAACATATTTGTCTAGTTAACAAATACAGTAATATAGCCTAGAAAAAATACACAAGGGATTCTTGCTCAGTTATTCTGAAGGGTCAAATAGATGAGTCCTTATAACTTTAGAGATTAAAAACCAACATAAAAATGTTGGATGCCCTTTATAGGTTTACTGTGATTTAAAGAAGATGATTAAAAAAATAAAAAATAAATAATATTTTGAAGAAATGAGAAACTGAACTGGTAGTCTGTTGAATTTCATTTACTAACTCAAAATATTTAAATGACTACTGAGGGTAAGCCACTGCTCTAGACGGGAATATCTCAAATAGCAACAGCAGCAACAAAAAAGTGTTAAAAATGAGACACCTCAGTAGCCACAGTCAAAGTACATGGAAATTCAGGCAACTCTATACTTTCCTTTCCTTGTGGCTCTTGCCACAGACCCATTTTGGGAACACTAAATTAAATGTATCGGTGTTACATTACGCAAGTATTTGTATTTTAACACAAACGCTCTGCATTTACTGCATGAAATTTTATCCTTTAGTGAAATTCTAAACTAATCTGTTTAAATTCCTATAGTCTCACAGGTGAAACCTAGGTCTTCTATTTTTCTCAGATAGATTTCCCCTGCTTTCCCATCAGTAAAATCTTTGTAGGAACTAAGTGATGGTCTCAAGATGCAAGAGCCACAGGTAAAAGGACCAGAGGTCACTAACATCTCTATAGTAGTAACATCCTACATTTCTACACACTTTAAAGTTTGCAAACAGTTCTAAGGACTAGATAGTAGTCCTTAGTTATCCCTGCTGTTGAGATGAGAAAGTTGATGTAGGGAGAGGTTACAAGTCAGAAAGTGAACTGATACAACTCAAAGTGCAGTTTTCCTTTATTAAGCCACCCCTCTGTAACAGACTGTTACCTTAGGAATAAGAAAGTCACATAAAGAAGTAAAAAAAAAAAAAAAAAGGAATAAAAAATCGTGTAACAGGCCTATTTTTTTAAAATCACAATTATGTTGTTAAATGAACAAATGCTTTCTCTCTCTCTCTCTATATATATATATACACATACACATAAACATACACACACACACATATATGTGTATACCCATGCACATATAAAATATAGTTGCTATGCAAAAAACCCATAGAATGTACAATGCAAAGAATGGACCCTAATATAAACTATGGATTTGGGGGTAATAATGATATGTCAGCGTAGATTAATCAATAATAACAAATGTACCACTCTGGTGGAGAAAGTTGATAGAGGGGTGTGCTATGCATATGTGGGGGCAAGGCATATATATGAAATCTCTGTACCTTCCACTCAATTTTGCTGTGAACCTAAAACTGTTCTAAAAAATAAGGTCTATAAAAAGGAATATAAAGTATTTAAGAATATATAGTAAGATAATAGTTGTATTAATAATAGTTGTATACTTTTTCTCATACCTTGCCTTGCCCAACTTTTTGAAATACTGCTAAGTGGAATACTTTTAAAATAAAGAAAAATATTCTTGTGGGTG